CAATGGATCAACGAAATCCTGCGCCAGGTAAGTTGTTCATCCCATTGGGCTTCATCCATCCCGGCGGGCGCGTTGTTCTTGTCCACGAGTCGTTTATTTTGCACCTGACTCCAATATTGAGGCGAAATGTGCCGGTTAAAACACCCAACGGCCAACAGCCAAATTTGGTTTACCTTGGGTAGTATTCAGGGAGTCGTTTTAGTATGGCTAAGGGTTTGAGCCGAAGGCAGACCCAAATCCTTCAACTCGGAAAAACGGCCGGCAGTGGCTTCAATGGGAGACCTGTGAACTCAGAGACTTGGCGTGCCCACTTCTCTCGAGTGCGCTGAAGAACGCCTGCCGTGGAAGCAGATCCGGACCAACCAAAAGTGTCCGCGGTAAAGTCATGGGAATCATCCACTTGAGAAGGTGATTTCTCAGACAGCAGTTCCCAAAGAGTTGTTCACGCGGAGGCTGCGGGTTTCACGCCGGAAGAACGCCAATTTGGAGGGCGTGGGTTTCACCAATTTGGCGTGCGAAGATTTGAGTGTCACTGCGAGCTTGAAGTTGCACAGTGCATCCAGATACCAGTATAGTAGGTAGCAATTGGGGAGATGTCGCAGCTAGAATTGACTGGTGACCCAAAGCGGCAACTGGAAGCAGGTTCACTTAAACCTCTGTGCTCCTTCCGCCTTGACAGTGGCACGCTGAAATGAGCTGACGGTGTCGAAGCACCCCAGCGCACGCGTAGCGCAAGACATGAACTGGCGAGTTCTGTGAAAGAGAGCTAGATCTTCAGCTTGCCCTCCCTCAGAGCCTGCCTCTGTTCCAAAGCTTACCCAATTCCTTGTAGCTATCTAGGCACCCAGCTGTTGCACGCGTGTTTTCGCCTGCTCTCAGCCACATGACCGTTTTGGCCTTAGTGAAGTGTCGATAATGTCCCGTATGGACCTCGTCCTAGTCAGAAAGTATCGAGAAAAAGCAACAGCTTTTCGAAGCACGGTTGCTTCTTGGTGTTACCCCTCAAAAATGAGCGTCAAACTAGGAAGGGCCTCCATGTGACAAATGATCCACACTGCGCAGCATTTGCTTTTTTGAGGAGACTAATGATCTGAATGCTGAAAAATGCCGGGATTTGCATGTGTTTGCCAAGGAGCAGAACCATGTTGTTTGAAGCACGTTCTTGTTATTTATAAACGTGGCTCGTGCTAGTTAAAACCAAAGGGAAATAAATACGGCAAAAAGCACGTGTGAGATCAAAACTGGTGTCAATGTCGAATTTCAATGCTTATTGTTTCCATGTGTGGTTTATTCGAAATGCATAAGGAACTACAATTGAATTGGATCGGTTTCCCATAGCAATACATGTTATTGACAAATGTTATCGTATTTGATAGGCAACACATAATCTAGATCGAAGTTGCTTTCCAACTGTGTTTTCATAGAATTGAATTAGAATGTAGATGGAATCATATGAAAGTATTTGCTTGAAGGCAAATGGAACTGCACAGGGACTTGGATCACTTTTATAAGATGTCAAGTAGCAGTTCAGATGTGAATGATGTCTTTCCCCCAGATTGCAGCTTTGACGATTTTGCCTGCAAAACAATAGTGTTTGTTGCAAGATAAAAGAGCTGTTGCCGGCACGTTCAAACTGCACACGCGTGCTACTGAAAAGTTGTGTCTTTTGAGCTGCCGCTGCCAATGTGTACTTTGCTTGCTACATGTGCAGTGAACATCTGCGACTTTCGAGCTGTCTAGGAGCTCCTTTTCTAAATGTTACATTGACAACTTGACATTAGGCGTTGCTTGATTAGAACTCACATGGATTTGAGAAAGAAGCTCGCGTGATTTCAAGCTCGAGTTCCAAATGCTAGTTCTTCGTGGTGTTTCTCGTTTGAGTCGACGTAGACCCTAAAGGCCTGGGATGCTTGATGTGAAAACGGCCCATCAGGGGGGAGAGCATGCATTTATATACATACATGTATATATATATATATAATACTTACAAGTGTATATATGTAGATGTATGTATGTATATATTTGTGTGTTTCTTAGGTTTACATATATAGAGGCAGGCAGACAAGAGAGACAGACAGATAGACG